GTTGAGAAGTCCATGATGGACTTGGTCGTCCTGTTCCACAAATACACCAAACCCGATGACAAGATTGACAAGCGGGGCCTGCTGAAGATGCTGAGGGAGAATTTCCCTATATTCCTCAAAGCCTGTGTAAGTCTGGGTGACTTCTCCAGGTCCTGGCATGCCAGAGGACACTTTGCTGTGGGACCTTGGACAAGTCAACCCCATTCTCTGATCCTCAATATTTTCATCTGCAAAAAGGCCTAAGAGGACTTTCCTGACTTATTATCAGGATGAAAGAGATGATACATGTGGCCAAGTGTAAAGGCATCTGGGGATCAAGGGTAGTTATCAGGTGGTGAAATAGGAGAGTAAAGAATGGGTCCCCTCCCACTTGTCACTCTCCATCCAGGAGACCGAAGCCTCTAGAAGCCGCCATTAGGTTCTCTGAGATCCAAGGGAAGGTGATAGAAATCCCACGGCTGATAATATTTAACACCTTTCATTACAATGAAAGAGCTTATTCATAGACCTGATTTAGCCTGAGAATTAGAATGCACTGAACTGATTACAAAAAGAGAGGCTACTAGGTGACACAGAGAGTAGGTGAGCAAGAGGGCACTGAGCATGGAAGATTTGGGAAGGCAAATAGGAGATAGGAGAGGAGGGTTAGGAATGAAGACATAAGGGGTAGGGCCTATCTCTAGTTTCTGGGTAGAACTTAGGTAGATTGGGTCCTGGAAGTGGGTCCGGGAGCAGGTCTGGGTCTAAAGACCACCCACCCACCAGCTCATTGATCAGTGAGGCTCTGGGCTGAGTCTGCCCACCACCACTAGGTCTCTCTTTCATGCTGATACTTGATCCAAGGAATCTCCCTCAGTGACCTGCAGGTTAATGTTAGCGTTCCCCTCATTCCCAGATGCCCTCCACTGGCCTACACCAGCTACACCTGTGCGGCCCCAGATGCTTCTCTCCCCTTTCTGCCTCCTCCTCTTCCTATTCCACCCATAACACTTTTGGGACTGAATTTATCTTTTCCACAGGAAAAAAAGGGCAAAGATTTCTTGGCCCATATCTTTGAGGACGAGGACAAGAATCACGATAAGAAGATTGAGTTTTCCGAGTTTCTGTCGGTGTTGGGAGTCATAGCCACGGACTACCACAATCA